TGAGTGGTATCTCAACTGTGGGTGAAGATGAAAGGCAGTTAGCCAGACATGGATGTGGGGGACTGGAGGGACATTACAGGCAGAGGAAATAGCCCATGTGTTGGCAAGACATGGTGCTGGAAGGAGTGGCAGGGGCCAGCTGGAGAAGGGCCAGGTGTGCCCATGGAGGGAGTTTGGACTTACGAGGTGAGAGATGGTGTGGCCTGGGATGGGTGAGCCAGCGAGACTGAGATACGGGGATGGGGGGGGTGGTTGGATAGCTATTAAGGCAGAGCTTAATGTTTCCCTCTGAGTGGGGAGGGAGGAGGGAGACGGCAGAAAGCCCATACTCTGGTTGCTGGCAGCGTAGGGAACGGCGACTCCATGCCCTGAGTCAGGGATGGCAGGAGGTGCAGCCTTCTGGGGTGGGACATCAGAGCCTGACATGCCTGTGAGGCAGCCTTCAGAGATGTCCTCAGGGCACAGGGGCCAGTCTGGGGTTCAGGAGAAGACAGGGCTGGAGAAAGCATCGGCGTCTTGGAAAAGAAACCATGGAAATGGATGAGATTGCCCAGGAGAGGTAGAGGTTGGGATGGGGGTACAAGTCACACTTAACCACACTTAACACCCTTGTACGTGGCCTCCTGCCTTCATCCCTTCTGGTCCCGACACTGAGCTCCAGCCTCCCCATTCTCCTGACTGAAGCCCCATCCCTCCAGGCACAGTGGACTCAGCCCTCCCCCCCACCCCCAGGATGCCGCTCTCCTCTGGGACTGCGCTTGCCTGTCCCCAGTAGCTCTGGGCACTGCGGCTCGCTGCCCTGTATTGAAGCTTCTTAGCGCTTCTCTCTCTCCCTGAGCACATCAGAGCCCCCTTGAGGGCAGGGGCCTCGCCTTGCCCATCCTCACTGTGGCCTACGGTGATGCAGCCACCAGGGCTCCAGTCAGCAGGTGGTTGAACAAAGCAATTAAAGAACAGTCGCTGACTTGGCCAGCTCTGCTTCTGTAGCTGTAACAAAGCAGAGCTAGCCCTCTGGGTTTTCAAGTTTCCTTTTTAAAATCAGGAAACATTTCAAATGTGCAGAAAAAGTAGAGGGAATATTATAAAATTCACGTCTCCCACCTTCCAGAGCCGACTTACTACCACGCTCCCTCCTAAGTCACAGCCCGGGAGAGAATACCTAGAATCAAAATAATATAAGTCAGACAGATTTTCCCACAAAAACACAATTGTAATACCAGGCCAGCTCTCTGACTGTGCGCCTGGTGCCTGTTGTTAGATTTTTAAATGAGAATAAACACTGCACTTCACCAAGGATACCATATAAAGCTTTCTAAAGAGCATATAAATCCGTCATTCGGTCCACACAGGCCACTTGCACCGTCACTTCGGTCATGCCTGGGGGTGCTGTGCAAAGTTCTTTCCTTACTTCCTTATCACACTCCGTGCTTAGAGCAAGCGCCAGAAATCAGAAGGTAAAGGAGCGTCTTCATCAGAGTCATGAAACTGGGGGAACTTCCTGGATGAGTTCCTTGTTTTTGTTGAAAAACAAAATAGCTGGTTAGGTTTGCTAAACTAGCATGGTAATCTGTGTTTCATGTTTGATGCTCATTTCTTTTAAAAATGGACTTTTATCGCCATTTTTTTTGCTCTTATAAAATAATATAGGAATTCTAGAAAATTCAGATAAGCCAAAAGAACAAAAATAACTTGAGTCCCACCTAGAAACAGACACTTAATTTTCTGGAATGTACCCTGCAGCCTTTTGTCTACGCATATGTGTGTCAGGGTGGGTGGGCATGTGCAGACAGGTGTATATCTGTTCGTTCACACCTACGCATTTTCTTCAGCATCACGGGACTAATACAGGCAGAGTGTTTGGGGATCTACTTCTTTGTTCCTATCGAAGGGAGAACACCTGGCTCTATTGTTATACATTCTACAAAATCATGTTAAGCCTGGAGAGATTTTGGCAGACATTCTGGAGAAGCCTTTTAGAAAGAGGTGGGGGCCTTTGGGGGTTTTAAGAAACAGTTCTGGGGCCTGTTTTTCTGCCCTCCCGGTACCTTTTCCTATCTCAAGTATAGGAATCAGAGACCAAGGCACATTCAGGGCTGGAATCATCTTTTCTGATCGCTGCTCCATCATATTTGCTGGTCTGTGTTGCCCACCGGTGTAGTAGGCTGAGGGCATGGTGGGCAGAGATCATCTCAAAATAATCACCACACTGCCAATACTCAGAAGATCCTTGAAGGACACACATTTCTTTCCAGTGACCACAATGTAGAAAGATCGAATGCACTTTGTCCCCTTGGGTGTGGATGGTGGGGATGGGGATCGAGGGACAAGTTTTTGGAATGACTAGTACATTTGTGAGCCATCTAAACGAGACAGGAAAAGGAAGCAACATTCTCACCCCCCTTTCAAGGTATAAATACCATTAAAGCATTCTTCCCTGCTCGACTTGCCTTAAGAGTTTTCTTGGTAGGTCCCTGGGTTTCTTTTATAACCACTTAGCTCTCTGGAGAAGATATTATATGATTAAAAAGAACTATACTTTTAGTGTCTTAGACTCTTCTTTTAAGAAGATGTTTCCAAGCCTTACTTTTCTCCTCTGTGTAATCGGAAAAATAATAATATGCATTTCAATATGGTTGTTGTGAACATTCAAGGAGATAATGTATGTAAAGTGCTTCCTGGCTTAGAATAAATGCTCAGTGAGTATTTTCTGTTAACACTGAATAGGAAAAGAAGTGCCTATTTGTTTGCATTTTGAGTTTGAGCACCCAATTATGATATATGTGATAAAAGTTCTTTGCCCTTGCTTAGTGTAGCATTCAACACATATGGCCAAATGAATGAATGACGCTACAAATCCTACTACTACAATTCGTTAAGATGCCTTGTCCATCAAACGTCAACAATGTGCTCTTTTTACACAGAATGTGCTCTTGAAAGTCTGCTCTGTGTGTTCAGAAGTGTTTAGGGCAACTTGGTTTCCAAATAGTTTGCTCCTATAGTCAAGCAGGCACGGGAAATTTGTGTTTGGGAGGAGAGACAGACAGACAGACAGATCTCTTTTCATTGACCTATTTATTCTTTGGAGGAAATTGTTGCGGCAGCTCCTAGTAACTATGTAATAATGTCCCCACACGCTTCGAGGTTGGTAATCAGCGTCAAATGCTCGAATTCAGCACAACATACTGACAACAGCAAGGTCACAAACCAGGCCTTTCCGCCCCATGCCAGTGGTTTTCCATCTTACGTGGGGCTGTCGTGTGACCCTCTGCAAGGAGAGACACGTGAGGAGAGAGCTTCCAAGTCTGGGCCCCAGGATTGTCTTGGGGTAAGCTGCGGCTTTCTTTGCGGCAGCTTGACGCATTTTAGACATTTGCACGTCCCCCAAATGAACCCTTAGTGCCTTAACATCGTTTCTGGTGTCTTCAGTGGTCCCAGGGTGACTGCATTGCAACCTCGCGCCTGTTTGTATATGCTTGTGTGCAGCAGGTCATTTCCAATCTAGGGTTGTCATCTGTAGAATGAGGGACTTGGCAGAGAAGGCTCCAGGGCTCTTGGCAGCTCAATCTAAGGAAGTGGGAAGAACACTGGGCCTGAAGTCATGCCCGGGAACTAACTCGAGCTGTTACCAGCATGTGACCCTGAGACCCAGTTGCATCTCCTGGACAATGGGCATAATGGTTGTGGTTATTCTGCGGGTCAGAGAGAAATGATTCGTAGGTGTGTTAGCCTGGGCAGGGGAAGAGATGCTGAGCTTCCTTGTCATCCTAGTTGCGTCTTGGTAACACCCCAGTGTAACAGTTTGGGGCACCCTCCTACTGGGACTGAGCTAAAGTCAAATAAGAAGCCACCATGGAAATGACGTTCTCTTCCTTCTTGTAACTAGGAAATTCTGATTTGCACACTGGTTTGGCCCAGCATTACCGGAGAAATCTCCTGGGATGTGTCATTTGCTACTTTGAACTTCTTGGTGCCGGGATTGCTCATTGTGATCAGCTACTCCAAAATTTTACAGGTATGTGTGCTTCGAGTGCCACAGCTGAACTCCACTGGGCTAGGGATGTTTCAGGTGGAATCAGCCTCCAGGTTGGAAGTTACCTTAGGGTTCACGCCAGTCCAGTCCTGGCTCCCTGCCCAGGTCCACCCTTCTGCAACATGAGGGGCAAGAGTTTGGTATTTAAAAAAAAAAAGTTATATCTTTATGACTGTTATCATTATTTTTATTATTTTGCTGATCACTAAAGCAATGCAAAGCTCATTATAAAAAATTAAAGACATGTAGAAATGTATAACACAGAAATCAAACATCTACTCCCACTGTTAACAGTTCAAAGTACATTTTTGAGGTTAATTTTCTTACAAATTTACCTATATACATACTTTTATGCCATATGTGTGTATATATACATATATATATGATAAACCATATAAAATGGTCAAATATCAACCGTATATCATGGGTCAACCCAATGTTGGTTTGTTTGTTTCAGATTTGAGATAACACTATTTGTAATTTCCTTTTTTGGCTTAACACTAGATTGCAGTATCTTTCCATATTTGTTTTTATATCTCTGCCTCATTTTTTTAATGGCTTCGTGGTCTTCCATACTACGGATGTGACATAATTTATTTTATGGACTTTTGGGTTGAGTCCATTGTTACCCATTACAAACAGTGAGGGAGACTCTATACAACACTATACAAATATAGTGAGGGAGAATGGACACGTCTACAAACTTTTCACTGAAGTATAATATACATCCAGAAAAGCATACCCAGCTCACAAAGTGACCACATTCCTAGAAGCAGCTCCCAGAAACAAAACGAGAAACAGACCATTACCAGAGCCCCTTCCTGTGACTGTCCCATTGCTACCCCACACTCCCAGAGAAGGTGCTTTTCAAAAGTGCGCTGAACAAGGAAGTGATCGCTACCTTCGAAGTGAGTATGTACAGGGACAATGGGAAGGACCTTGCCAGCCTGGCTCCTGCCTCTTTTTTTATTTAAAAGATTTTATTTATTTATTTGACAGAGAGAGACACAGCAAGAGCGGGAACACAAGCAGGGGGAGTGGGAGAGGGAGAAGCAGGCTTCCCGCTGAGCAGGGAGCCCGATAAGGGGCTCGATCCCAGGACCCCGGGATTGTGACCTGAGCCGCAGGCAGACGCCCAGCCGAGGCTCCTGCCTCTTGACGCAGCCCATTCACATGGGCACAGGCAGATGGCGTGTGTTCATGCTCATCTCAGAAGGTTTAATGCAAGAAGTCCTCTTGGAGGTTTATAGTTGTTGAATCTTGGTTTTTACTGCATATTACAGGTCATCTGGCAAACGAACTTATTGAAGTGGGGCTCTGTAGGTCCTGCTGGATATCCAGCCACTTTTATGGCCCTTTCTTTGTAGCTGAGGATCTGTAAACTTCTTAGAGGCTCGGAACCCAAAACCAGGCCAACCTCCATCTGGTTCTGCTAATCCTGGGTCCTGTGGGAGATGGCCTGCCATGCTCTTCTCTAGAGTCTTCCCCACCAGTTGCCTTGTGACCCATAAGTGACACCCAGCCTGGGGCTTTTTCATGAGGCAGCGTCAGGCCTGGAGTTAAGGTCTGTAACATGCTTGTGATGAGGGGCTGGCATGTGTAAATGCTATATCAGTATTAGCTGTTATTACCTTAAAAGAAAGGGAGTAAGGGAAAAAGGAAGATGAATTTAGAATGAATTCTTTAAAAATTATTTAACAAATATTTATGTAGTATTTACAATGTGTCGGGAACGAATTCATTTAATCCTATTAAGAATTACAGATGAGAAAACCAATGCACAGAGAGGCTAAGTAACTTGCCCAAGATCACAGAGCGCATAAGCAGCAGGATCAGGATTTACACTCGGGCAGTCTGGCCCCAGGGTCCCAACACCTTAATTCCTCAGACATTTGTTAAGAAGCTGCTCTATGCGATGTGTTGGCGGGGAGTGGAGATTGGTCAAGAGTGAGCAGGCCACATTCTTGATCCAGAAGGAGCTTTAACCCGCGGCAGACTGTTGAGTGTTGCGCAGATGTAGGAAGTGAATGAGGGGAAGGAGAGAGAAGAGCAAAGGGCCGTGAAAGGCAGACACGGAGACAAGAAAGGGCTCTTTTAATAACCCAGTTTTTGAGTCCTTGCTGTGTGGCCTTTGGCAAGATACTGACTTTCTCTGAACCTCAGCTCCCTCATCTGCGGAATGGCGATGCCTCGGATGGCGTAGGATTGTTGGGAGACAGGTCAGAGATTCCTTGCCCATAGCAGGGGATGAGTAAACCACTTCTGTTGTTACGTGTTAGGCAAGGTAGCCCCTCTGACCCTTCTCTCAGAGCATGCTGGGGAAAGCTACCGTTGAGATTTTGAATAAACCGCAGGGTGCAGATTTGGAGCATGGCAAGAATGAGGAACCAGGAACTGATGCTAGAGCAGGCCTCGCTGGCTGGAGCGGGGCTCCTCCAGGGGCAGTCGCACTCCCCAGTTCCCTGGAGGCCGCCAGGGCTCGGGTCTGCCCCTATGTACTTCACCTCAGACTTCTCAGCCACCTTCTGAGGGAGGATTGACTTATCCCACCGTCTTCCATCTTCCTGTCAGGCCAGGGCCCACGCAGAAACATTCCAGGAGCCCCCAAGGGCCCTGATGATTTGGGGGAGGTGTCCTGGTATTCATCTGCCTCTAAGCTGCAGGTCATCACTTTCCAGATCCATGGCCAGCCTTCAGTTCTTCCCATCACAGACCCCAGGACGGCTCCTGGATGAGACAGAATATGGATCATGACTCACAGTTATGAAACAGTGCTCTGAGTAGTGACTCAAAGATATCAGTTAGAACCCATCGATTCCCTCACATGTTGAGCAAAACTCAAAGCCCTCACCTTAAGACCCCGTGTGATCTGGCTGCCCTCTAACCTCATCTTCTCACCTTCTCTTGTGGCCACATTGGCTGTGGGGCTGTTCCTCACACATGCCAACACACAGCTGCCTCAGGGCCTTTGCACCTATGATTTCCTCTTGTGGATCTCTATCCCCCCAATTTCTGTGCGGGCCACTCCCCCATTCCATAAGGTCTCTGCTCAAAAGGCTCTTCCCCGGAGACCCTCCTCATCATTCTCTAGTCCCTATTACCCTGATTTATTTCTCTTCAGTGCACTTACAACCCCTGTCATGTTCCATTTATGTGGATTTATTTGTAAAGCATCTGTTTGCTCACTAGAATGCAAGCTCCATGAGGGCCGAGACTTTGTTTTGTTTCCTACTTTAGCTCCATGCCTAGCACAGAGCCTGGCTTATTCATTGTAGATACTCAGTAAACCCTGAATGAGTAAGACGCAAACCTTGGCTCACATTGAAAGGGCCTACAGTACCTTCTCCTTTTGGGTGGGAAAATCATTGAACAAGATCACTGAACAAAAAGTCCTAAGACCCAGATTCTAGTCCAAGCTTTATTACTGTGTGACCTTAGGCAAGTCATTTAACTACTGTGGGCCTCAGTTTTGTCTGGAGCTAGATAGGCCTCAGTGGATTGCTTAACACAATAAAATGAGAATGCAGATATGATAAAATTTCGAACAGGCTGCTAGTCTTTTTTTTTTTTTTAAAGATTTTATTTATTTATTTGACAGAGAGAGACAGAGTGAAAGAGGGAACACAAGCAGGGGGAGGGGGAGAGGGAGAAGCAGGCTCCCCGCAGAGCAGGGAGCCCGATGCGGGGCTCGATCCCAGGAACCTGGGATCATGACCTGAGCTGAAGGCAGACGCTCAACGACTGAGCCACCCAGGCGCCGTGGCTGCTAGACTTTAATTGGAAAGAGATCTAGCATTGTGATATTGAAAATCATGCTAATGCAAATATAAGACTTAAAAAAATTTACTTTCCACCCCACTAGCCAAACTTACTATTACCCATTTCCCGGGAGGACTGTGATGTTTGTCCTCACTTTGGACCTGTGGGTTTGCCCGGTGGGTAACTTGGAAGTAGGTAAGCTGCCAGGTGGATGGAGCGTCCACACAGGCCCTCATAACTTGTGTCTCTCTCCCTCCGAAGATACGCATAACTCAGACACACTGGATCAGCTTTTCAGCTGAGATTCTTCTGTCAAGAGCATAACTCTGTAAAATGAACATCAGTGTTATCAGCTATTTTCATAGAGACACAACTAGCAAACCATCTGCAGCCTGAAGACACAAAACTCCACTTGCCACCCCTTTCCCTCTGACTCAATTTCCATGTATGGGCCTGAGAAGTGCCTTCTTAAAGTCACCCTGATCTTTGATTGCTCTAAAGCGGCATCTCTCCTAAAGCACTCTCTAGAACTCCATGGGCTGTTAGATGTTAGAAAAGGGTGTCCCTGATCCCATGAGTTCAGGAAATGATGATGAATCAGTGTCAGGTGGGTCTCTTACTGCAGGACTTCCGAGAGGCTTCATTACACGAATGTACTTTGCGAGTCTCCAGCACAGGAAGAGAGGCAGCGTTGCTAAATCTGACCTCAGACCCCCCCTTTTCCCCCCACAGAGCATCTCTCTGCACTGGTGCTCCATGGGTCTCCTTTGGGGAACGCTGCTCTAACGTCCCTGGCCCGGGCGCTGCTTCTGCCCTACGTACTCAAGGACCGAGAGCAGGCCTCAGCTGGGCTCTTTGCTTCCAGAGCTGCTCTGCGAGCTCAGGCCGGTGGCCTTACCCACCGTCTGCCTTCCCTCCTTCCCCTTCCCTCCTGACTCAAGCATGCTATACATCTTCAGTGGCTTTTTCCAATCAGTACCTTCCCAGGGTAATAGTCTCCCAGTCACTCCCAAGTGCCTTCAGTGCGGCTGTCCCTGCTGGCTGTTGGGGCTTGGTTTACATTTCTCGTTCCCCGTCCTCGGTCTCCATGGAAAGCAGGGTGGGCAGGGCTCCCTTCTTTCTTGCTGACTAGCCAGCACTTGTAAGAGTACGTGGCACCTGGTAGGGGCTCAGTAAATGTTTGCCGAATGAGAGAGTGAGTGTCTAGCTTCAGGTTGGAAAACCCTCCCCTATCTCAGCGCTCACCTGAGAAATGAGCTCCATTTTAGCTAACCATGAAGGTGTTAGGTAGTGAACATGCAACCCCTTCTCTGTGTCTGGCCCTTCCCCAGCTTTGGGGCCTGCTTGCTGGTGATGGAGAGGGAGGTGGGCCCTCTGGAAAGATGGAGTCTATTGTCTGAAGATTCTAATCTGGAGGTTGCTGATTGACCAAGCAGCCCCCAGAGGAGAGCCAACCCCTAGGGCACGAGCTATGTCAGTGGGGACCCGCCTCTCCCTGCACCCACCCTTGGCAACCATGGTGTGGAGGCACAGAGCCGCAGAGGGGTGAGGTGGAGAGAGGTTTCTCTCAGGGCCTTCGGGCACTCACCTGGGTGTGAAGGCAGTGCATCTCAAAAGGACAGTTTACAAAGTGACTCTTTTCAAAGAACTGGGAGAAAATCCCAGATCCGTTGGCCTAAATTAGTAGTCCCCATATTTTAGTCAGCAAGGATCACTGGGGAGTTTGTGAGAAGTTCAGTTTTCTGGGCCCGCTCAGACCCACAGAAGTGAGTATCTGAGAGTGGGCCCAGGCACTTGCCTGGTCATTCTGACAGGGTGGCCACGGACCACATGCCTGGGTGCATCGTCCTCTCTCCTCATAGCCCCACAGTGAAGAGCTCAGACGCCTCCCCCTGAGGTGTGCTTCCCCCCCACCCTTGACCATGAGCCCTGAGCAAGTTACCTCACCTCTCAGAGCCTCCATCTCTTGTCCCCAAAATGGGGCAATGACAGAACCTACCCCATAGGCCTGTTTTAAGGATTAAGGTTAACCCTCAAGTTGGTCGAGCATTGAATTTCTCCTAAAACACACGAAGCATTCTGTGCAATGACAGAGACATTTTGAAGCCTGGGTAGAAGTTAACTCGTCTCGTCATCTAACATGGGGAGGGGAGCAACAAGGAGCCACACTGGATTATAAGGAGCCCATTTTTTCGCACTCCCTGAAAGTAGTGGGAATCATGGGCAGAGGAAATCGTAGCATCAGTCAGTGCTAAAAACAGACCCAACCACTTACCCACTCGGACCGTGAGTCAGCCCGTTTCTCTGTCTGCTCTCAGTCACCGTCAGGCACTTGCTAGAGCCCCAGGCCACAGAAGCCACAAGGCTGCCCAGCCCCTAGGGAGCCTGCAGTCTGCGGGTGGTCAGAGGTAGCCACGATGCGTCAGCAGCGACCACATGGCACAGGGCACGTGGCAAGGGCCACGTGAGTGCCGGAAACAAAGCACGGTGGGATGCCACTTGGGAGAGGAACCAGAAAGCCTTCTTGGTGTGGCTGGCACTAGAGCTTGTGGTCATAGGTCAGGCAGAAGGATTTCCATTGGCGGAAACTGTAGAGGGTAGGAAGGAACTAGTTTAAGATTAAGAGCATGGGCTGGAGTCAGACTGCCCAGGTTTGAAACCCAGTTTTGTGACTGCTTCGCTGGGCACTGTTGGGCAAGTTCTTCAACCTCTTTGAGCCTCAGTTTTCTCATCTGTAAAATGGGGATGATCAAAGTACATCTGTCACAGAATTGTTGGGAGAATGTAAAGAGATAAGCAAGTGATATGTACAGGGCCTGGCACGTAGTAAGTGCTCAATAAATAGGAATGTACATCCACATCACTCAAAAAATATGTCTAAGACACTGTATGAGGGACTCTAGCCTTCTTGGCAGGGTAACGTGGACAGCATAAACGATGAGGCTGCTGTTGAAATCTCCCTATGTGCCCACCCTTGTGAGGGGACTGTCCCCCTCTGTATGAATGGTGTCTGATCTCCATGTAGCCAGTGGTGGGGCCAACAGAGCCCACTGATCAGGGGATCATTCCCAAATGGCCCACACTCCAGGCATCGTGGGCCCTTCCCAGACCAGCTTCATTTTCAGGCTGACTCCTGGCTACAGCTGTCCTAGCAAATGAGCAGCTTCCAGTCGCCGCCACCTTCCACTGACCTCACCTCAGGGGCCTGTGGCAAGACTAGGATCCAGGTCAGTTGCTCCTATGAAGGAAAGGAACCAAATGTGGGAGTTCAGTGCTCCCTTTCCGCCCGGACTGGCCACACCCTCATGCCATCTCCCACTGCCCCCTCTGCCACCCAACAACCTGGAGGGGAGGGGAAACAGACTAGTATGTGTGCTGCCACTTCAACGGGTACCCCTCCCCCTTAAAAAAGGTGAAATAAATAAAACACCCATCAAGAGGGGCCCGGATAAATTCTGGAACAGCCACACTCTAGAACCTCTGCAACCACTGACACAGTAACAAGAATGAGGTGCCTTCTCTTTGGGCTGATATGCGATGAGCACCCATATAAACTGCTAAGCGAAAGAGAAGAAGGGTTAAGAATGAGGTGTGTGGCAGGGTCCCAAGTGTGTGCAAAGCAGAGTGCAGACATCTGTGTTCCCATGGCCGGGCCTGTGTGTGATAGCAGAGCATTCCCAGAAAGACCTACAGGACCCTGGTCACCGGTCTCTTCCAGGGAGTGGAAATGGAGGGCACAGGAGGCCACAGGCCTTATATTTTTAATTTGATCTGCTTCGGTATCATATTGTTTGAGTTTGTACCTTGAACACATACTGCTTTTATACAATTAGTTACTTACCTCTTTCAAAAAAAAAAAAAGAAAGAAAGAAAGAAATACTAAGGAAGATGTGTGTCTTCGTCTGTTTGGGCTGCCATCACAAAATACCACAGACTGGGGGCGCCTGGGTGGCCCAGCTGGTTAAGCGGCTGCCTTCGGCTCAGGTCATGGTCCCAGGGTCCTGGGATCGAGCCCCATGTCCGGCTCCCTGCTCAGTGGGGAGTCTACTTCTCCCTCTGCTTGTGTGCACTCTCTCTCTGACAAATAAATAAATAAAATCTTTTAAAAATAAATAAAAGGCTGAATTAAAAAAAAAAAAACCCACACAGATTGGGTGGCTTGTAAACAACAGAAGTATATCTGCCATAGTTCTGGAGGCTGGAAGTTGAAGACGAGGGAGCCCCCCCTCCAGGCTGCACACTGCCGACTCCTCACTGCCTTCACACGGTGCAAGGGCTGAGGGAGCTGTCCCGGACTCTCGCCTAATGGCACTGATCATGAGGACTTGGTGCCCAGAACCTGATCACGTTCCGAGGGCCCCGCCTCCCAGTGTCACAGCCCTGGGAAGGCCGTAACGTTCCACCATATGAATGTGGGGGGATGCACTTCTGTTCACGTATTTCTCTTCTAGACCATCTAATTCAGCCTTTTCACTTCTCTGCATCAACTCTATTTACAATATGGATGATTTTCTGCCTTCTTTCTGGGGGTGGGGGTCAGCCAGGTGCCCCATTTCCCCAGAGCGTCCTGAGTACAGGCCGCTGAGACAGGTGCTCTCCACACAAAGTTCCAAAGCCAAATTGTCCCAGGGCAGCAGGGATGGCAGATTCCAACGCTGGATGCTTTGCTCCTCCTAAGTCAAAACCCCCCAACATCCTGCAGTAAATCATGGTCTGGCTCTGTTTGGTGTTCCTGCAGATCACGAAGGCGTCAAGGAAAAGGCTCACGGTGAACCTGGCTTACTCAGAGAACCACCATATCCGCGTGTCTCAGCAGGACTTCCGGCTCTTCCGGACCCTCTTCCTGCTCATGATCTCCTTCTTCATTATGTGGAGCCCCATCATCATCACCATCCTCCTCATCTTGATCCAGAACTTCAAGCAAGATCTGGTCATCTGGCCATCCCTCTTCTTCTGGGTGGTGGCCTTCACTTTTGCCAACTCAGCCCTGAACCCCATTCTCTATAATATGTCACTGTTTAGGAATGAATGGAGGAGAATTTTTCGCTGCTTCTTCTACCCGGAAAAGGGAGCCATGTTTACAGATACGTCTGTCAGAAGAAATGATCTGTCTATTATTTCCAACTAATTAAATTTTCTCTATAGGCAGAGTTTATCACCCTCTGGAAGGCCATGATATGTTTTCAAAGGTAGTGAATTTCCAGGACCATCACATCAGTGTAGCCTGCTTTAACAAAATATAACCTATGCAAATATACATTTATAGCACCAGTCAATTAAGGGGTGATCATTCAGTATAACAGTTTTACCCTTTATAAAATGTTTTGCTATGGGCTCCTTTTAAATATGAACTTTTTTTCAGTTTGTTTGTAATATGATTGAGTTGAATAAATTTTTATTTATAACTGTTCAGCAATCACATTTCTTATATGTAAAGCACACCGTGCTGGTTTCTGGAATGATTCTTGGAAATGATCCAGGACCCAGATTTCTCCTTGAAGGGTCACAGCCACTCTAGGTATCCCTCCCCTCCTCCCACCAGACTTGCAAGGCCTTAAGACCATTCACTAATGTCAAGAGCACTTGAGGAACTTCCAAGGAATAATTAAAGCCGACTTTAGTTTTTCACTTATAATAAGAAATGCCATGGACCCCTTTAGGAGAAGCCATGTCATGCAATCAGAGAGGAGATAGGATGATTCAAAACATCGAAAATGAGAGCACAAGAGATTCCCTCCACAAATCCACTTGTCAGGTCTTTCTTAAGGGAGGGACCTATCCTTATGGAGCTTACTTACCTTCTATTCAGGGGAGAGAAGCACTAAACAGAAGTCAGTAGATAATATAAATAGAAGTCAGTAGAGAGTGGAGTAACATCATGAAGAAAATAGGACAGTGATGGCAATTTGGATGGGGTAGGGAGGGGTCTAGGAAGACCTTTCTGGGGGGTGATATTTGGGCCAAAAGGTGAACCACAAGAAAGAGCCAACCATCTGAATCCAGGGGAGCAGGGCTTTGCAGACCTTGCAGACACTGGTCCTGGTGCAAAGGGGTTGGTATACTTGTGGGACAGAAAAAAATTTGGTGTAGGTGAAGCAAACTATTGACTGAGCTTCCTCTATGCTACAAACTGTCCCTGATGCCAGGACAGATGGGTGACCTGCTGGAGCCCATTGATTAAAACCAGAGAAGGTAGAAGGCTGGACTGTGTAGGGTCTGGGAGGCCACATAAGGAGTTTATTCTGTTCAGTGGGCAACCATTGGAGGTTTGCAATTAGAGACTGATATGACCTAATATCTATCTTTAAATATGATCCTGGCTGATGTGCAGGGAATGGACTTTGAGGAGCAGGAATAAAAACAAGACCAGTTAGGCGGCTGCTGAAGTAGAACAAGAGGGAAGTCAGAGCTGGGTGGCCTCAGTGGGGGTGTTGTGAGAAAGGATCTCAGAATCACTCTGAGAAGGCAGAGTAAGCACGATTTACTGATGGACAGGATGTAGAACGTGGGGGAAAGAGAAGATTCGAGGGTGACTCCTGACAGTGGTTAGGTGGCTGGGCAGGCCACAAAAATGGGAACGACTAGAAGAATGGCAGGTAGGAGAACCAAGAGTTTTGTTTGGGGCATACAAATTTGAGATCCTAATGGAAAGTAGGCAGTTGGATGCAGGGATGTGGGACTTGGGCCCACACATACAATGCTAGGAGTCATCAGGTAGTGTTTACAGGTCTATGGTTTTATGAAATATCCCCAGGACAAAGGGACGGGGAGAAGAAACCAGAGCCAAAGAGAACCTGTCACTTGGAGGCTGGGCAATGACTGCAACTCACAGCAGCTTGGGGCCTAGCACGTAGTAGGTGCTCAACGAATCTTTGTTGCAAAGTAAATCAGCGCCACTGGTTGTCATTGTTCACGAGGTTTCTTGAATAGCTTGCTTCTGAAGTAAGATTTATGAGGATCACAAGCTTGAGAACAAGAGGACAGCAGGGATCTTTGGTTCATCTTTAGTTACTAGATTTGTTCATTAAAGCTGTTTTGTGAAGTGATGTGTCGCTATGTTATGGGCGTCTGGGATCATCAAACTGAGGCTGAAGCACCTGGCTCTGACATGAGCGACAGGCAGAGTTTTCCCATATCCAGCTGCCTGTCTCCTCCCTTGCTGTCTCCTCTCTTGCTGCTGGGAAAACACAGCACATCGAAGGGGGGACGCAGGGCACCCATGGCTCCCTGCTATGCCAGCTCACAGGCAGCGATCTCCCCACGCATGAGCCCTTCCCCACTTCCCGACCCATGTCACAGATGTCAGCCTGGCACCGTCGCCAGGATTGCACAGCTCCTAAGGGCTCTCACCGAATCCTCACCGCACCCCATCAGGCAGGTACTGTTTCCCCACATTTCACACGAGTGA